ACCACACTCTGGCGAGCCGCAACGGTGCTCGTGAGGTTTCTTAAAACGTTTATACGAAACGCAAGTTGGAATAAAATTTGTTTCCTTTACACGTTGTCGCTTTCGTGCCCTTCGGCGCAATTACCGCAAGTAGGTGTCTTTGCAACACAATGCTTTCTTACGTGTCCAAACTGCTGACACAGATGGCACCTGACCACCTCGACGTCATCGATAAAACGGCAGGTAGCCCAATCGATAAATAATTTCTCTTTAGTTGACACGAGATGCTTCCGTATGCTGGTATCGATTTCAATACCGATCCATTTACGACCGTTTTGCAAAGTACGTCGGCGGGTAGTTTTACGCGACTTAATAAAATCCACCTCTTTGATTTCGAGCTCGCCGTTAATATTTTGCCGATATAATGAGGTCAAAAACGCGTTGTCTTCCATCGAACCCGGAACGTCCTTGACCAGAATACGCGGTCTACGGCCCTTTGGTTTTTCCAAGCGCAAACCGGCGGCACGAATCGCAGACACGGAGTTCATTAAGTTTCTTAATTTGTTGCTCGTTAGCAACACGCAGTACGACACCCGACTTCGCTGTTTTCTTGACCCGCGATCCGGTGGGTCACTTTGCGATGCCATTATTTAATTTAGTTCTTATCTTTAAATACTCTCGAGCAATACGAAAACAAAGTAAAAGCAAAAAAAAAACAAAATATGTATTAATCACACGAACTTATTATCCGCTACCCGCAACAAAAGAAATTAATTGACTTATCGAAAATGTGATGAATATTACCTACTTAATTAATAAGTGGATTAATCCCGTTAATTACCTACGTACACCACACTCAGACACAGGGAACACAACAAAAAAGCCACACGAACCGGAACAGATCACATAAACAGCAAAAAAACAATAATAATAGAACAGCGATAAAAAAACACCACTGCACACTGCACCGTGCGCGCGCGCGGAGGGAAGTCTGACTCCAGGTTAACAATAGTAATTTTATTCAGAAAATGCCATTATCATTTTTTATGGCGCGGCAATCGAACACGTTGCAGAACCACTGCGCCAACCGTGCAGTCAGTTACCGTATGACTTGCAGTATAAGAACCACAAGTCATATTCTTCGATAAATGGACTATCCAACAGAAAAGGAATTATTAGGAATTATTAGCTCTAATTAAGCGGGTGTTCGCTTCTTGGGAAGAAGCACGGGATGCCATCGGCATATTTTGTGATCTTTCGAAGGCATTCGACTGTGTTGAGCATGAGACACTATTGCTGAAGCTGAAACACTACGGAATTCGGGGGACGTCGCTAAATCTGTTGAAATCATACCTTCAGTATAGGCAATTTAAAGTACAAGTAAATAAAGTAAATTCACAGGGTGCTAACATATCTATGGGTGTACCGCAGGGCTCGATACTAGGTCCATTCTTATTTTTAGCGTACATAAATGACTTGCTCCATTTATTTAAAAGCGGTTCATCCGCAGATGGTATTATTTGCTGATGACACTTCATTAGTTTTTAAAATTAATAGACGCACAAATAGTTATGACGACGTAAATAATGCCCTAATGAAAGTTCATAATTGGTTTACATTAAATAACTTAGTACTAAACAATAAAAAGACAAAATGTATTAAATTTGTTTGTTAGGAAAAACCTACAGTTATTTGGTAAAGTGTCGGACAGACACCACTATCAAACTAGACATAAGAATAGATTAAGTCAGCCAATTTCGAGATTAGCGAAAGTAAGTAAGTCGTTCATGGGAGTCTGTGTTAAATGTTTTTTTTTTTTTTTTTTTATCTCTTTATTTATTATTAGGGACTTTTACACGGACGTGTACGCCAGTCCCATCATACCTTATATACTAATATAATTATAGAGGTATAATCTAACTAAAACGTAATCTTACAAACATAAATACTTTGGAGGCAGCCTCCGAATTAGGTGTAGATAAAAGGCAATGAAATACACCTACATCATACATATTCAAGTTTAGATCCTTAAATAGTTCTACTCGGTTCGACTGAAATCTGGCACACTCCCACAACAAGTGTATAACGTCTTCCGGTGTTCCACATACATCACAATTTGGTGAGTCGGTCTTTTTCATTAGAAACCCAAACTTATTGAGGGGCATGTGTCCAGATCGCAGTCTGTGCGCGGTCACCACCAGCCGCCTGGATAACCTGGTGTTGTAAAACCATGGTACATGAGGAGGCTCCGATACCATTGATCTATACCATATTCCTTTATTCTTGGACCTTTCATTAAAATATTCTTTCCAAAGTTCATAGCATTTGTTTTTGTAATTTGGTAATAATTCTACGTAGTATGTTCCAATATTTACCTCCTTTCCCTCATCAATTCCCAATTTTGCTAACCGGTCTGCCTCCTCATTACCATGTAAGCCTATATGTGAAGGAACCCATTGCAATCTCAGATCAAACCCATTGCTGGTTAAATTTTGTATCTTAGAAAGGATACCATAAGCTATCGATGCACCTCTGTAACCAGAGGCGCAGCGAGCTATATGTTGTAGTGCACTTTTGCTGTCAATACAAATCACAGCTTTTCTTTTGTCATTATTTTGAATGTAAATAAGTGCTTCTGAGATTGCAAAGAGTTCCAAAGACATAACTGATACAGCGTTAATTATTTTGAAACAACTATTGTTGTTGTTTTCCGGTTTTAGAGGATCGTAGTAAGCCGCACCATTTCCCTTGGCGCTCTTAGACCCATCAGTGTAAACAATATAATATCCTACATATTTTTCCCTTAACTCTTTTATCGTTTCAGTTTTTATTAAATTATATTCGTACGCTTTTTTTGGTTTTGTAATTGACTCCAAGTTAACCTTAATAATATTTTCAGTATTAATGTTACTGACCCATGTATCTAGACTAAACATTTCTAGAATCGGAGATGAGTTCATATTCTCTTCTTTTACATCTTCAAAAACACTAACAAGTAGCGGGAGCTTCTTGTTTGACCAATATCTGCTGTGTTTAAGAGCGCCAAGTTCTGACAAGAGGTTGATTGTTACATTATTTGACAATGATCGCGACTTCAAACAATATTTGACAGCTAACCACCTTCTTCTTAGATGCAGTGGAGGAACACAGAGCTCGCATTCCATAACATGAATGGGAGTGCTTCTTATGAAACCTCCCACTACCCTTAAGGCTTGATTCTGTACTTTAGCAAGCTTGTAGATATTTGACTCCGCACTACTATCATACAGAAAACATCCATAGTCGAGTCTGCTTCTAATTAAAGAAATATATAGCCTACGTAAATGTATCTGATGTACACCCCAGGATGGGCCAGTAAGAATTTTAAGTATATTAATAAGTTTCTGAACCTTTTCCACGATTTCATTGATGTGTTTACCCCAGCGTAATGTCCTATCCAGCCAAACTCCCAAGTATTTGTAAGTTGGCACTGAATCAATTTCACAATTATTAACCAAAAGCTGAATTCTTTGTTTTCTAAATCCTCTGCTAAAAATACAATATTTGGATTTACTAGTAGATATCTCCAACCCTAAATCGTCTAATAGAGCCACAAAAACATATAGTGCGTTTTGAATTTTATTCCTTCCGTCTAAAATATTATTATATGTTGTATACAGTACAAAGTCATCAGCATACTGACACGTAAACACATCAATGATTTCCCGACAAAATTTGTAAGTCGCTATATTAAAAAGTAGCGGTGACATAGGGTCACCTTGCGCTAATCCTTTTCCTGTATATCTGATCACATCAGTTCCCCCCGCAGACTCATCAGAGATTTTGAGATGACGCTCACTTAAAAAGTTCCATAAATAATTACATATCCCTTTACCTACATTAAGTTTATCGAGAATGGATACTAACTTTGCTATTGAAATATTGTTGTATGCACTTTTAATGTCTAAAAAACAAGCGAGAGTGGGACAATTAATTGAAAAGCCTATCTGAATTTGAGTTACCAAGCGCGTTAAGCAATCTAGACAGGATTGCCCTCTCCTAAAGCCCGTTGTATATGGTGATAGAATCTGCTTCCTTTCAATGTACCACTCCAATCTTTTACCTATCATGGCATGAAAAATTTTGCAAGTGCAAGAAATCAATGATATAGGTGTGTTAAATGTTATAATAAGATACCAGGCGATGTACAACAACTAAATGAATCGAAATTTAAATTATGTATAAAGAAAACTTTGTAGTAAGAAAGTAGACAAGCATATTACAAACTTAATGAATATATAGAGGATAAAAATGCTTGGATGCAGGCTAGTCCGGCTCCACAGGATAACTAAAAACACTTGTTTTAATGAAATCGTAAATAATACAGCCATATTGCTAAATTGTATATTGTTTAACTTAGATAACCATTGTAAATGTGAGAGCCCTGTAATCAACTTAATATTAAATTAGATTAGTAGATTTCATTTGTGTCAGCTTGGAGTTGTCATGCTCACTCAAAGGTCTCATTGGCGGTGGCGCGTGCAGTGGATCGCTCGATTCCCTACAATATGGTTGAGTTGGGCCGTGCTGGTTTACGTGTCATGTTCGTGAACGGGCGCCGTCAACTGGGACTGGTCAGCTCCAGACTGTATTACTGTCCATAAGGTTATTTTCTTTTTTGATCACTTTGACTGGATTTTAGTGTTACATTGTTCTCGCACAATCCAAACAGCAAAACTATGTAACTAGTAAATTTTATTGTGAACCTGATTGAAAAAGAGTAAACTATGGAGTTTCTTGCTCGTTCTTCTCCATAGGAATCTAGGCCTTGGAATGAGCAAATGGCTTCACTTTAAATTTTTGTTTTTGTTGACGTTCAAAAGTGCCATTCTGGCCTAATTGAAATAAATGATTTTGACTTTGACTTTGATTCAAATCAAACCAGTATTTACAGAGATTAGCGCATTTAAACAAACACTTCAGATTTATATTTTAAGTATAGCAAAATAGTAACTGAGAACCCTATAATATAACAATGTCATTCAAACTCTTTTCACAAGTTGTAAAGTAAAATTGTCAACGTCTCTCATCATTATGTCAAATTTCACTCTGAAAGGCTTCAAGTCTTCAACATCAGATGGCGGAAGAATCACATATTGACGAAGAAGAGATGATAGAGCAGTTTTCATTGACATCATTGCGTACTGATAACCTGCAAAGGACATATTTTTAGGTAAATATCAAAAAATAGGACTGCAGGAAGAGATTCCTATGGGAATATGCAGTACCTGTGTACCTCCAATCTATTTATATATGTACACATATATGTGTGTGTTTAGCTACCTCTATATATATAAAAATGAATCCCTTTTTCCCTTGGTCACGGCACCACGCGTGAATGGCTAGACCGATTACACTAATTATATTTTTGTTGTATTTGTTATTATTAGGAAAAGGTTCTTAAGACATAAAAAAAACCGAAATTCCCGTACGAAGTCGCGGGCTGTTGCTACGGAGGTCCTTTCGTCAAATAGAAAATTTTCTTTCATCAAGCCATTGGTTTGTCCATCTTTAACAGATACTAAAAGTGATTGAAGATACTGTCGTTCAAAAATGCCTTGCTTTAAAATAAATGATTTTACTTTGATAGGACCTTATGCTACATTATAATAAGGCATATTCTCTTACCAATACAAGCTCTGGGTCCATGGCTGAATGGCATGAAGGCAGCGTGATGCTTCAGCGGCGTGTCGATGAACCGTTCAGGTCGGAACTGCTCTGCGTCATCTCCCCAGTAGTGGTGATTACGATGTAGTGCCCAAATATTGATCACAACACCACAATTTTCAACTAGAGTGATTCCTGAAGCTGTAATATAATTTTGTCTTATTTATAATATGCAAGTGTTTCCAAATACTTAAAAAAAATTAAAATTGAAATTTTGTCATGTAACATATTATTTACCTACTGTAGGCAATTAATTAAACTTGTAACTGTTTATATACATAGATTACTTTAATAATAGGTGTGCAGTTTTACTAAAGCTAATATGAATTAACGTAATTTTCTAACTGTGTTCTTATTGGCATATTATTGTTAAACTCATGGGGGCAGACACTGGCCCTTGTAATACAGTGTAAACTAGTTCAAGGGTCAGGGAATTCTGCTTATCTGTGTTAAAATTTTGTATATAAAAAATAATTTATTTTAAAAAAAGGAATGGGCATTACATACTTGGCATTAGGTACTTTAAATATTTATATCACTACTAGGATTTCCTTATTGAAATTAAAATGTAAATATAAGCTTTATTTGAATCTTCTATTCTCTAAAGAAACTTACGTAAAGTAACTTCTTTGTCAATTTTCCTCGCAATTATAGGCACTGGTGGGTACAAACGTAACGTTTCTCTTATAACAGCATCCAGATATTTAAGTCTAGGTAGATCTTCAGCCACAACCGGTCTTTTGGAATCACCAAATACTTCAAGTAACCTAAACGAAAAAGAAAATTAAAGATTCTTAAGTCTGTCAATATGAGGGTTAGCGTTTCTTGTTTACTAAGGTCCAAATACTCAAACGCTACTCAATTTTAGGTCACGCTTAAATATAGTTCTGTCACTTTAAATGCTTTGTAAAATGACAGAGATGGCACGATATTTAAGTACAATTTAAAATTGAGTAGACTTTCGGTATTCGGGTGTAAATGGCGCATGTAGCATATGGTCTGTTTATTCAATCACTGTAGCTATCAAAAACTTAATGTTTTTATATTTGATGGGGCGACGTTTGACCACTATCTCGCCTGGTGGTAAGCGATGATGCGGTCTACGATGGAGCACGTCGGCCCATAAGCAACCTAATTTCTCCACGGACTTGTGTCCGTGGCCTTGTCATATTACAAGTACATGATTTTTATGGTCAAAATGTTTTATGGCTGACACTCACCAATTTCTTATTGGACAAACAAGATCTTATATAACAATAGCTCTAACAGGAGAGGAAAATACGGCAGAGGTACGATATTCGCAAAATGGCTGTCAGTTGTTGGATGAGAAGAGGTGAAGTTCGAACTTAGTGGTGGTTTATTGGACAGGTATATGACCGATCACCATCATGGACGAAAACAGGCTGATAATAAAGATGATGACAATAGTAAGCAAATATCGTTAGCATTCATTGATGAACCAACTTACTCTTGGTAGACCTTTTCCTGTACATCAGGGTATCTTGATAGCAGAATCGAAGCGAAGGCAGTGCCCACAGCAGATGTGTCGGTTCCAGCTAGCACTAATACCAAAGTCTCTTCTCTCAGCTCCACATCTGAATATCCTCGGTCACCTCCTGAAGAATCTATGAGGAGCTCTAAGAATGTCTTAAGACCATCGTGTTTTATATCTGGAAGATAAAAATACTGGATAAGAACATGGTGAAGCTCCAAAATGATCAGATTAAAGTTGATACATGATTTCGTTATCTTACTTTGTTCAGATTCGGCCATTGACACCTTTTCTTCCGCCAATGCTTGTTTCTTGGTTTTAATGATCTAAAACATTAAAATAATCTTTTATAAACTACGCCCAAATAAGGAGTTAAATATAATTTTGGAGTCAGCGAAAACCTGCTCTAAAGTGTAACAAAGACTTTTCTGAAAACTGCATCAAAATCGGTTTAGTCGATCGCGATATAATCTCGCACAAACATACATACATACAGGTTAAACTGAGAACCTCTTCCTTTTTATGAAGTCGGTTAATTAATAATCAACATTAACGAATGTCGTGATGGCCCGGTTTAAGACGCCCACTTCATGAGGGTACGGGTTCAAAACCTACCAACGGCAAGTACCAATGTAACTTTTTCTGGGTTATATGTACTTTCTAAGATTATCTAGATACCACTGACAAACGGCGTAGGAAAATATTGTGAGGAAACCTGGGCTTATATTTTCTATTTATAAATTTGTAATCACCAACCCGCGTTGAGCAAGCGTGGTGATAAATGCTCAAACCTTCTCCGTGTGAGGAGACTAGGAGAGGCTTTCCTCAGCAGTAGGCATTTAAAGGCTAATGATGATAATGATTAACGAATGTTTAATCCTATTAATAATTGATGTTGACTCTCACCTGATCAACGAATTTACAAATATAGTTCCTACACTTAAGATGCAGTTTGTAAGCTGGTGTCATTTCGTATATAGCTTGAGGATGGAACCATGGCTTGCAAAGTCGGTCAGCATCCAATTGAGTACATTTATCAAAAGCTTGAAGAAATGGTTGCTCCGATTGTTTTTGAGAATTTACTAAAACGCCCAAAGTTGACTCTGAAAATTAATCATCCCATTTAAGAAAAATGCGGAACCATAAAATAAGCAAATATAGAAAAGCAATTTCAAGTATAAAATACAATTTGATAATTACATTAATAATAGGCACAATAACCTGTAAATTGTAATAAAATTATTGACACATGAAATAGACTATTTCATTGTCTAGACTTAACAATAATAAATTCTAAACATCTTTTTTTATAAGAAAAAGATTAACAGAAAAAAAAGCCAATGCGATCATGCCAGCTAGTTCATAACTTCTTACCGCAAACAGAATCCATGGTATAAGTTGTAATGTATTGCCATATGGAGAAGGCTCCTTTTCCTGCAGCAGTTCGTAACTGTTCCACCATGATAGCGCTCTGACGAGAGAAGATCTCAGCAAACTGCTGCAAGTTCTTCGGACTGAAAGTCGGAGCTAAAACTTTACGACGAGGACGCCAAAGACTGACTGCGAAAGAGCAGAATCATATTTAATAGAAGGCTGTGAAGTTTAAAAACGTTTAAAATTAAAATGATAGCTTATTGAGCATGCACCTGAGACGTAGCACAGATATAATGCATCGTTGACAAGGAACTCTACTAGTTAGATGCTAGAGGCTCATATTCGTATAAATTCACATTCAATATGAGCCTATAGTACAGGTTGAAACTAGTCGAGTTCCTCGTCAAACAGTTACGTGGGTAAGCATCGTTGTTTATTTTAAAAGAACAACAATATATACCAGAAATTGCTGAATTTTCAGAAACCATTTTTTCATCTTTTATCAGTGTACTTTACAGTATCTGTAAATTTACAGGTGATTTATTTCTATAAACCCGCATGCTTACACACTACATTTAGAGTCGGTACAATCGTGTAAGTACCTAATTTTAGAAGGACAGATGTATAACCAGTTTATATCCGGTTTCTGTTTGAGAAACCATCAATTTTTTTTTTTGAATCAAATAGATTAATGAAAATAATATTTTATTAGCGTCACCGGCAGACTAAGGCCCGTATTAATAAACCGATATCAGCGTAAGAGTGAGATGTTAAGATCCTGTTTGATATTCCGACATATTAATAAACAAAACCTAATACGCGGTTTAAGACCTTGTCATCACCTGAGATCGTATTGTTTAATAAACATTACTCGGGTTTCAAGATCGGTATTAGGATGGTTATCAAGACCACGATTGTTAAGTTCAGTCGACCCTGGACTTAATATCGTGAACTCGTACCTAAGTATTTCGCGGGAACCATGAATATTGAGAATATTATTTCCGAAATCAATTATTATGATGAAGTCGACTAATACGATGATATTTTATGGCCTTTTCAAAATCTATTAAGTACCTACCTAAAGTTTATATAAGGGACGCGACAAATCCCTTCGAATTACCTACGCAAAACGGTTTCGATTTAATCAAGAATCAGTGCTGTTGATATCGTACCGTTGCTAAGTAATAATTTGGTAAAAATTGATAACAGAGGGCTGCCAGTTGCACCAGAAATTTCAGTCTTGCTTACTTTGAGGTTTTACGCTACAGCATCCTTTCAGGTAAATTATTTTGATCAATTGAATTGTAAACATAGAAAAGTTAAATTTGTTATGTATGTTAAACGATTTATTTATAATGACAAAAACTTTCAATTTGTGTGCGGGGATCTCATTTATTTATCTCAGCCTACAGTATCAAACGTCGTTAGAAAAGTATCACGACTGCTAGCATTACTCCATAAAACCTATATTAAAATACCTACAGGAGATCAAGCTAGCTTGAATAAGCATTTTTGACTCCATTATCGAATATTAATAAATAACATAACATCACGCCTTTTATCCCCGAAGGGGTAAGCAGAGGTGCACATTATGCCACTGTACAATGTAACACCCACTTTTCACTATTTATGTTATGAGTCCCATGTAATAGGGGGTGAGCCTATTGCCATATACTGGGCACAATTCCAGACTCCGTGCTACTACTGATAATTTTTAAAAACCCCAGCAGTACTTTGCCCGACCCGGGAATCGAACCAGGGACCCCTTGCCCGGCAGTCGCACTTGCGACCACTCGGCCAACGAGGCAGTCGATTAATAAGTAACTTGTAAATAAACACTAAACACTGATATGTATGATTGTATTATCAAGTACCTAATAAACATTTGAGATAAATAGACAGATATAATAATGAGGTGACGCGCAATCCCTGGTAGGTATGTGCTTTTGTCACAAAATTAAACGTAACTTTATAATAAATAGTGCTTTTTTATGGTCAAACAAATCATAATGTATACAATATAAAAAATTAATATAGTTTCCTAAAACTTCAATTAATTTAAAATGGAAAAAAACTTTTATTCCTATGTATACAGAGTTGAATATTATCGTTCTACAAAGCTATTACTAAACGGAATGAGCGAAAGATGTAATAGTTCGTTCGCTGTGACGTAACAAGTCTTAATATCAGGATTTCATAGAGTGTCAAATTACGAATGTTGATAACCCGATTCAAACCGCGGTATCACCTGAGATCGTGTGGATATAGGTTTATTAATTAGCGTCGACATTAAGATGCTGATCGCATCTTGAGAACGTATCAACTGATGCTATATATGCTATGCTTGATATCGTGATTGAGACTTATTTATTAATACGGGCCTAAGAAACAGACCGGGCGATTGGTTTGAGAAATAGCGCGTAGAAACACATAGGAAATCATAATGGTTGTGGTAGTAAGTAGTTAAGTACTATAGAGAAAGACATACATTTTAGTGATACAAGAATGATCCACATAATGTTCTCTTTTGACAGATTATCCTCTTGATGTTTAACTCTTGACGACTGTTCATCATATTTCTTTAATGATCAAATCAGTTATAAGGTATTCAATTGGACTTATGATGAAGCTACAGTATTATTCTGAAAACCGACGTGAATCAACGCTTGCGTTGTGTTTCGTCGTGTGAGTGAGGTTACCGGAGGCCCAATTACCTTCCCCTTCCCCAATCTCCCCAATCCCTGAATCCCCAACGATCCTCAAACTTCTAATCCCCAAAAGGCCGGTAACGCACTTGTGATGTTCCAGGTGTCTATGGGCAACGCCGATTGCTTACCATCAGGTGATCCGTCTGTTCGTTTATCGGCTTATGCCATAAAAAAACTTAATGTTTTCTTTTGACAGATTATCCTTTTGACGTCTGTTCATCCTATTTCTTTAATGATCAAATCAATTATAGGATATTCAATTAGACTTATGATGAAGTTATATTAAAGAAAATCTTGCTGAGCGTTCTAATAAACCACGTATAATGATGAAAGTCATACCTGGGGCGAAGATGCTGCCGTTACCAGTCACGAACTTCAAGCAATCTACTGCATCATCTTTCTCCAAGCAGGTCTTTAGAAGAAACTCCGCAACCTTTGCATCTGATACCACTGTAAACAATAAACAACTATTTTATGTAGGTACTAAAGACCAGTTCAGATAATACGCATAATTATTTTTATTATCACATTCATGGTTTTAGTGTCATCACATGGTGGTACCTCCGACAAAAATATTTTATTATGTCTACGTGGGATTCAAACAAAGAAACAATGGTAGATACGATTGTAATAATGTTACATATCAAAAGAGCGATTTTTGAACTAATTTTTGAAGAGAATTGAACTAAAAAAAATGGTTTAATTAAAATTAAGAGACGATTTTTTATAGAGGTAGTGTCTATATTTGGCATGTTGCATGGACAACAGGTGGCAAGTAGGTTTAAGTAGTAGGTTTAAGATTTTAAGTACTATGAATGTTTGTGGTGCAGTTGGGTAGCTGATCCGGTATGAAAATTAAAAATCTAATTAGTTAACGAAAAAGAATTAGACACGTATTTTTTATTTTTTCGTGAAAAGAATACTAAGATAAAATAAAACAAATTTAAGTGTAGGAATGGGAGATCGCTACGTCACGCGTTTCTATAAAACGTAGCAACTCGTGACGTCACACGATATTTCAAATCAATATATCGTCGAAAGTATTTAATTTTGTAAGAAAAGAAAAATTACGTGTCTAATGTTTTAACATAATTTACCAGACGGACATTAACAATAAAATTAGAGAGGAACACGGATGGCACTAATAGTACGAGAGATGACGACCAAAACCATGTCTCATAGCAATACGGCAAAAACCCTATAAAATTGTTAGATTGTATGATTCTGAACCCGACTTTTTTTTTTTTTTTTTTTTAAGGGGGGAAAATCATCGAATGACTGCTCCCGCCTGGGTGAGGCGGAAGGGAGTGTCAGACTCTTACTGACTAAAAACCACCCCGTTCCTTCTCCTGCACGTCGAGCCGGAGCCCCGGTTACCCGTTAGGTTCTCCGCGACTCCGAATCGGCATCGGCCCTATTGGGCCCCATCTGTGGTGGTCTGATGGCTCTTTGAGGCGCGCGCGGAACGCGACGCGCCGTACGCTCGGGTCTGTTTCTGGTCGGACGGGGAGCCACCCATGCTCGCCGTCCGCAGGCCCGCGCTTACGGTGGCCGGAGATCGTCCCGCGATCCCCGACGCCCGGTGTGTCCTTCGCGATGGCTGGGTTGCGAGGAGGCAGCGCTTCGCTGCCTCACGCGTCCCGCCTCCTCCTTAGCTAGCATGACTGCTTCGCAAAAGGAGGAGACGGCATCCCAGTCCCCCTCGCTCCGCATCATGGCCTGCACTAGGCCCGGACGCGAGAGGTCGCCATCGCCGATCACTTCCCTGAGGGCACGGCGGTGCTCAGCCCACGCAGGGCATTCCGCTACGGTGTGTTCCACCGTGTCCTCAGGGCGGTCCTCGCAGTGATGACACCCGGGCGTTTCCTCCCGCCCCATCAGACACAGGTACCTCCCGAAACTTCCATGTCCGGTGAGGACCTGCGTCAGGCGGTAGGTGAGGACGCCGTAGCGTCTCTCAAGCCACTCCTCAAAGAGGGGTCTTACCGCTGCAATGGCAGCGAGCTCAGCCCTCGGTTGCGACAGTCGTTGCTGCCATTCCGCCATGATCTGAACCCGACTAGGTGTGTAGTAACGATCGAAAGTGTAGCAACTGCGTCGGAGGCCATTTCTGCTGTGTCAAAAATATCTGAGTATCGAAAAGTTGTCTGATAGAGAAGGTGCTACACTTATTTTGTCTGATATAAATTTTTTGCACATATTGCCATGATACCGATCATTTTCAAAACGGTCTCAATATTTAATGCGTTCACATTTCCGTCTGAAAATTGTTTTGTTCGCATCAAATAACCAAAATTTACTAATAAAAAAGGTTTTCAGACGTATTGCTATGAGACATTTTTTTCGTCTGGTGTTTTTGTGGTCAGATCAAACGCTACGCGGAAAATGTCTGATATTGATATTTTCGAGTTCAGAATAATCATATCTATCGATTTGAGGCGGTTTTGGCCGTATTGCTATGAGACAAAAATTTTGGTCGTCATCTCTCGTACTACAACAATTAAACGCAATAAATATAATTATACAAAAGAGCAATTAAACGCAATAAATATATCTGCAAAATATCGGGCACTCATCAAAAACAAAACAAAATGCATAGTAGTAATTCAGTTATAACTACATATATTATGTTGTAACATCACTGTCATTTCTGTCATTATTAAATCATGTGTCATTGCTACATCTATGGTCATTTCATGTCTTTGGTTTTTATTCATTTATTTTTATTTGTTGCAACGTTTCGTTACACGTAGCTGCATGTTTATGCCATGCTTTTGTTTGTGTTGCTTTTTTCCTTTTGCTTTCCCTTCTCTGCTTTTATTATAATTACAATAGCTACCGAACCCTGGACTGCCTACTTGTATTATTTTTTATGCTTTTGTTTTGTTGCTTGCTGCTTTATTGTAATTTGTTTTGTTACTGCCTGTGTAATTTTTGTTCTTTGTTTTGTACTGTATTAGAAATACTTCTTGCAGATTAACTGGCAGGTGGAAACCTGTAAAATTGCACTTAAGTTTTTATTTTTATTTTTATTATTATTACTCATTATATATATACATTATATTTTTTTTTTATTTTTACTGCATAACACTTTACTCACACCCATGCTGAATTCTAGTTTTAACAATGACTCAGATTCTTTTTCATCTTTAACTCGTGACGACGAAAGCTTCTGTAGTATTCCGTCTTTAACTGATACACTGGTTTCCGTATTTTCTGATGCATCGCGTAACTTCAATGTAGTCCACATCAATGCTCAGAGTATTCCGGCTCATTACACTGATATGCTGGCAACTTTCGATTGTAAAAACATTCATGCAATTCTTGTGTCTGAATCATGGTTGAAACCTTGTCTCCCATCTTCCGCTTACTCTCTTCCTGGTTTTAATCTAGTAAGGAATGATCGTGCGTTTGGGGGCGGGGGCGGTGTGGCCATTTATCTCCGAAACTATCTCTCCTTTACAGTCCTAAGTATGTCCGCACAGCCCCCGCCAACGAATGCTGGTGAGCACCTTTTTCTGGAGGTGGAACTTCACCACACTAAGGTCCTTCTTGGCGTCTATTACTGTCCTTCTCTTCGTATTAACTTCTTTTCCTCCTTCGAACTACTCTTGGAAGCGTTGACTCCCACATATGAGCACTGTATTATAATGGGGGACTTCAATACTTGTCTCCTTAAAAATGATACACGTTCCACATCTCTAACTCATGTCATTAACTCGGTGAATCTTTCTTACCTTGACCTTGGCCCAACCCACCACTTCCCTCACTCTGTTCCTTCACTTCTTGATCTAATTTTAGTTTCTTCCCCTCATCTCGTTGCTAAACATGGGCAGTGTTCAGCTGACGCTTTCTCATACCATGATTTAATCTACTCTTCCTATAAAATTCGTCCCCTAAGCATAAGTCGAAAACACTCTATCGTCGCAATTTTGAGGGTATGAATTTGGAGCGCCTTAGGGAAGATGCTGGCAACATTGACTGGACGCCCCTGGTCGAATCTACGTCGGTTGATGAACAGGCAGAATTTTTGACTAATACCCTAGTTCAGCTGTATGACAAGCATGCGCCTGTCCGGGCTGTTAGGGTCAGACACCTACCATCGCCTTGGCTCACGAATGATATTAAGATACTGATATCCAAAAAAGCTGCTGCCAAATTCAAATATAGAATCCAAGCAAATGAAAGCAACAGACTCAAATACCTAAAAATCAGGAATTATTGCAACAAGGTTATTAGGAATGCTAAACGCCGGTTTATTCACAGCTCGGTTGAAAACAGTGATCCAGCCAAAGTGTGGAAATTTCTCAAATCTCTTGGTATCGGAAAGTCTACTCAAAACTCTTTTCCAAATTTAGACCTTAACTTATTAAATAATCACTTCATATCCTCGCCCATTTTAGACGGGGCAACCAAAGCTGCTACATTAAACTATCTTTCTTTACTTCCGATACCAAATTCTGTTCCCTTTGTCTTAAGTCAATTCACCGAGTGTGATGTTAAGAGAGCCATCTTATCTACAACATCTAATGCCATTGGTGGTGACTGTGTTAGCCGGAAGATGATCATAACTATTCTTGACCAAATTGTTCCTGTCATTGTTTTTTTTTAATTCCTCAGTCTCTAGTAACGTTTTCCCGCAGGTTTGGAAGGCAGCTCACGTGATTCCTTTACCTAAGAAACCAAATCCTGTCACTTTCTCAGACTATCGTCCTATATCCATTCTTCCTTTCCTATCCAAAATCCTGGAAAAGTTGGTCCATCTTAAGCTTAGCATGTTCCTTACCAAAAACAAACTCCTTAGCCCTTTCCAATCTGGTTTTCGTCCGGGGCACAGCACCACCACGGCCCTTGTCAATGTTACGGATGACATCAGGTCAGGCATGGAGTCGGGAAAGTTAACGGTACTTGTACTCCTTGACTTTAGCAATGCTTTTAATACCGTTGACTTCGACATATTGCTTGGCGTGCTCGGCGCTCTTAACATATCGCCTGGGGTAGTTGAATGGTTCCGTAGCTACCTGTTTGGTCGCCGTCAGCGGGTGCAAATTGAGGAATCTTCCTCCTCATGGTGTACTACCGCTGCCGGTGTACCTCAGGGTGGCGTTTTATCTCCTTTACTCTTCGCATTATTTATTAATTCTATCTCTAAAACTCTTTCTTCTTCTTTCCACCTTTATGCTGATGATCTCCAAATTTATACTCAAGCTTCGCTTGTTGAGTTACCGAATGCTGTTGCAACAATCAACCGCGACATGGACCGGATAGGCGAGTGGAGCACTAATTTCGGACTGCAAATAAATCCGTCAAAGACGCAAGTGACGATCGTCGGTAGTTCAAGGTCTGTCTCTAAAATTGACTGGTCGACTTTACCCCAGGTTTCTTTGCTTACTACAAAAATTCCTTATTCTCGAGATGTAAAAAACTTGGGGATTTATGTTGACAACACGCTGTCCTGGTCCAAACAACTGCAGGAGGTTAGCCGGAAAGTGTTTGCCTCGGCGGGCTCCCTGAGGCGTCTCCAGAATTTTTTGCCAACTTATACAAAAATTGCCCTTGCTCAATCTCTTCTTCTGCCGATCCTCGACTATGCTGATGCCAGCTATCTCGATCTCACCCAGGAACAATTAGATAAGCTTGAGCGTCTTCAAAATCTATCAATCAGGTTTATATTTGGACTGCGCAAATATGATCACGTTTCAGATTTTCGAAAAAAACTCAAATGGCTACCTATTCGACTTCGCCGGAATGCTCATATTCTCTCATTACTTTACAATATACTCTTCAATCCTGCTGCCCCTTGTTATCTAAAAGAACGTTTTCAGTTCCTTAGTGACACACATACAAGGTTATTGAGATCATCAGACAATCTTAATTTAAATATTAGTTTGCACTCCACTTCCTTTTTTGGTAATTCCTTCACTATTAAAGCGGCTCGGTTGTGGAATGCCTTGCCGATTAAGGTGAGGCGTGCTCAAACTCTACCTCAGTTTAAAAATCTAGTTAAAGAACATTACCTCTCTCTTTAGTCATTATTTTTAAAAATTCCTACTTAGCATGGAAACACATAAACACACACACACACACACACACACACACACCCTCACACACACACACACACACTCACACACGCGCGCGTGCACACACAGACACATCTACACACACACTCACTTATGTATTGTAGTTATATCTATTTTAATTTTATATATTATTTATTTGGTATGTAGGTATAGATAGTATTATATTGTATGTATTGTTTAATTATTGTACACTAGACGACCCCCTTTTTCCAACTCCTGAATACTGGCTCCATCCAAAGGTTGTCTGGAAGAAATCGCATTCTGCGATAAGACCGCCCATTGTGCACATTCTTTTATGTTTGTTTTTTTATGTATGTTTTTATGGTGTACAATAAAGTGTAAATATATATATTAGTGTTAAAGACCATGACACTGTAAATACTTATATAACTTAATTGGTGATGATAGCCACTTTAATTTGTGTGACATAGTCGACCTTAGAACTACATGGAAATCATTTGTTTACAACCTTGAACAAGATTAATTGAAAATGTTCGTGTTTTAGAGGTCTCGGTCTTCTATAAACTTGTTATTTAATAATTTACATATATTTTATACCTACCTAAGTACAGCCGGTGCCCTTGCCATATTGTCGTAACTCCATGCTCACTCGCGATCGCTTCACGGCCCAATTTCTGAAATTTTGTCATTCGATCTGGAAAAACGGACATGATATGATTGTTTAACATTAAAACATTTTTAGTTTTTTTATGGCATAAGCCGGTAAACAAGCAGACGGATCACCTGATGGTAAGCAATCGGCGTCGCCCATGGACACCTGGAACACCAGAGGCGTTACAAGTGCGTTACCGGCCTTTTGGGGATTAGGAGTTTGGGAATTGTTGGTTATTCAGGAATTGGGGAGATTGGGGAAGGGGAGGGTAATTGGGCCTCCAGTAACCTCACTCACACGACGAAACACAACGCAAGCGTTGCTTCACGTCTCTTTTCTGTGAGGCCGTGGTATCACTCCGGTCAAGCCGGCGCAATCGTGCCGAAGCATGGCTCTCCCACACTTAAAAACTGCATTCGTTTTAAGTTAGTACTGCATTAAGTCTCAAGCACATCTGCTGAGCAAGCACGCCTCCCAAATATTTAGATTCTCTCGAATCTTCGTAATAGAAATCGCTAATAGCGACCACTCCATGAAAATGAGATTACTGCATAAACCGGTTCGGTTTTGGTTGTACCAAGATACTTTATGGCCTGGAACCTTCTTCAATAAAAGCACTATCGAAAATAAAAATAGTTTTCAATTCCAACCAGTGATTCCGAAGATTAAGGAAAAACAAAAACATAGAATACAAACTTTTCCGCTCCATAACATTATTAAAAGAAAACAAAGACCAAGAGTACAATTAATCATAGTCAGAAGAATCGAGCTCAATAAAATGTCTAAGCTAGTTTATTTTTATATCTAACTAGTTTTGAAACATAAAATATGCATTAAATTTTTTGATCATAACGAATCAAGTTTATGTTAAAAAAAAAAAACAAAAAAAAAATTTCGATGCACCTACCTAACCTGACCTATCTACATCATTTTATATGCCGTGCCAGTGCCTGCGCAGACATCCATGTTTCAAATATTCCTCGTAGCTATGTTGTATTACCATTATATGCATTATGCGATAGGCAACACGTCGGGAAATGTTAAAGAAATATTTCTGTAGTACTGTTAAACATTTCATAAATAGAACTATAGATTCAACAAACCTTTTTTTTTTAAATTAATTTTTTTAAATCGCATTTTTTAACTTTTTTATTTTTTTTAATTCATTTTTTTAATTTTTGTCAATAACAGCCTGATGACTTATATTCATTTAACACACACTATTTCCAACTGATCACATTTGAATTCGTTAAAGTATGCAATTGTTTTAGCTACATACGATCGGTATGACTGAATAGTCGTATAAAGTTCTACTAGGCAAACCTCCAGTATCTAAAGAAATTAATAATATTTTTGTTTGAACCACACTGGATATGGGCTCCGAAAGTAGTAAGAAGACTTGAAAACTCTTGAACCTCTCTTCTACCATTGCAGACCTTATTTGTTAGCGAGTAATGTATAATTATAATATATGTGTATTGTTCAGATTGAGATTAACACCAATATTCTTACAGTATAGGGACCTACTCAAAAGAAATCTTTCTAATTCTAGATAATAAAGAAAAATGTTCCCTAAATAATAGATGGGTACAACACTTACCTTCATCACTTCCAAAGAATATATAAGCATGTCCCACGAACGGTAGAGTCATGTGGTTGGTCACACCAAGCTTATGAGATAGCTCGATCATCTTTCTTCTTTGCCATCGCAACACAAGGAGCCACACCAGCAAAAACAATAAAATTATCTGCACTAACATGATCAACTACCTATAAAGACTACTATAAATGAAAATAAAACTTATTTTGAAAGACAGAAAGTTACAATTAGCAAAAATTATATCAGGAGTAATTGATTTAGTTCGGTAATGTAGTGAAAGATATGAAGGCGCATCAACTAATGGATATGACAAAATAATTTTGTGCGACATTGATGATGTATTTAAGTACACACAAAGTTTTTCTAGTACTTATACTATTGAGTATCGTATGGATCGAGTACCATCCAATTCAAGTGTCGAGGTTCAATTCGAATGTTATGTTTATGAGATAACTAGCTTTGACCCGCGGTTTCGCTCGCGTCACAAAAGGATAAAAAGTAGCCTATGTGACATATACCAATACACACAGCGCCATCTATACCAATACATTAGTTTTCCCTGGGGAATGTCACATTTTTCCGGGATAAAAAGTACCCTATTATTTTATCCGGACTTCTAACTTTACGTCTGTAAAAATTCAAAGCAATCGGTTCAGTAGTTACGGCGTGAAAGCGGAACAAACTAACGAACAAATTAACTCACTTTCCGATTTATAATATTAGTAAGGATGACATCACAGCTTGACAGAATGTTATTTCACGAAGGAGTCAGTACTGAAGAAAGTTCAAAATCGCATCCGTAGAAAACCACAACTTCGACACTAATACCTAAAACTCGTTGCATAAAGCAGTGAAGTTTCATTTTGGTCGTTAGGACGAAAATCACGGAGAACTTGGTTTCGGCACATTTTTCCATACAAAAGATTAACTTCCTAAAACTTGGTTCTTGTTTTTTTTTCATTTCAACATCATCACCTGATGGTAAGCAATCGACGTCCAACACCAGAGGCGTTACAAGTGCGTTACCGGCCTTTTGGGAATTATAGTAGTTTGAGGATTGTGGGGGGATTTGGTGATGAGGGAGACTGGGGAAGGGGGTAATTGGGCCTCTGGTAACCTCACTTACACGACGAAACACAACGCATGCGTTGTTTCACGTCTGTTTTCTGTGAGGCCGGCCCATTCGTGCCGAAGCATGGCTCTCCCACACTTATACCAAACTGGCACTAAATGGATAAATATGAAGATGTACGGCACGTTGTAAATACCAACACCAATGAGACAAATGTTAGAACTATAATACCTTTAAACTTAATATTGTCTTGGTGCCTTATTTGTCTCTAAAACAAAATCAGTAAAGCAGTTTACGCGTAAAATCTATAACCAAACAAAGTAATTCTTGCGTTTAAAGTAAAGCTTAGGATAATTTAGGAAAGTTACAGAAGAAAGTAAATATTAGCAACTCCTCTTTACTTGAATAAAAAACTACTGTTGAAAAAAAAACTACTAACATCATAGTACTCGAGTACTTCGTTTGACGCAATATCGTTAAAAGTAAATAACGCTAAAGTACCTACGCCACAGACGAAGAAGGTGAAAAAAACTTAAAATAATTCGTACCTAAGCATTATCATGTAGCAAATAAATATTAAAACCTCAAGTAATGAAAACGTACTTTTTTATTAATTTTATTTTATTTTAATGTCATCCAGTGACTGCTCCCGCCTAGGTGAGGCGAGAGGGAGTGTCAGACTCTTACTGACTAAAAACCACCCCGTTCCTTCTCCTGCGCGTCGAGCCGGAGCCCCAGTAACCCGTTAGGTTCTTCGCGACTCCGAATCGGCATCAGCCCTGTTGGGCCCCGTCCGTGGTGGTCTGATGGCTCTTTGAGGCGCGCGCGGAATGCGACGCGCCGTACGTGGCTTACGGTGGCCGAAGATCGATGAACATCGATAATAATCATCAGTTATTCCCACTGCGTAAAAAGATTCGCATAGCGGATCGGGTGTAGTGTTCTCTGTTAAGTCCAACGACTTCAAACCGCTTAACATCAGACCGAATTCATCTACTCAACTACCCACACACGGCATTGACTGTTTATTTACACATTGAATTCAAGTTAGTTACAATTACAATGCTAATTGCTATACCATTGGTTATACAAATTATAAAATATTTCTCGGCCTAAACTAAGTGGCTTTTTTGTATGCTCTTGTGACTTCGTTCGTGGAATTGGCACAAACCCAAGTGTCAAAGAAAAGTCCAATTTCTGACGCACCAAAAGTATTATTAGATTTTAATTTTATTCAGCTCTAGGTTCTTATTCAGTAGGTTTGTGTGTGAAATGTATAAATCTCTAAATAAAAAAATGGAACCTATAATAATTTTATTATCACTTTCTTACCATTTAACCTGCTAGGACAACTTAGGATAGCAACTCAGTCACCAAAATCATACCATAAAGTCATTGCGATATGAAAGAAACATAGATATAATATTAATATTTCTGTGGTTTTATATAAATCGCAAGTTCGCCCCCATATGGAGTACTGCTCTCATCTCTGGGCAGGAGCGCCAGCATACCAGCTTGGACCTTTTGACGCGGTCCAAAGGAGAGCTGTAAGACTTGGTGACGATCCTATACATACGAGCGCTATCGAGCACTTAAGTCTAAGGAGAGATTTTGCCTCCTTGTGCGTGTTCTACCACTTTTATAATGGGTTGTGTTTTGCGGAATTATTTGATATGATGCCCACGGCCACATTTTATCATCTCACCGCTCGCCATCGACAGGGGGTTCACGGTCACTCATTGGAGCCAAAATGGTCCCGTACAGTAAGGTTTCAGAGGAATTTTCTCCCACGGACCCTCCGATTGTGTAATGAGCTCCCTGCCGTGATTTTCCCAGTGGGCTACAACATGCAGTTCTTCAAGAGGGCAGTGAATAGGTTTCTTAAGGGTCGGCAAGACGCATGTAATGCCCCAACTGTTGCAGGCGTACATAGGCCACGGTAACCGCTTACCTTCAGGTGGGCCGTGTGTTTTTTGCCACCGTCGTGGTATAAAAAAGGAAACAAATATAAATACATACATAAATATGTAGATACATAATTTATAGATATAAGTATATAATATAATTATAACATTCATCATAGTAGGTTTTGTGTTACTGGTCTGAGAAAAACATTTCGTTTTTTTATATATTATAATATTTCGTTTGTTTATTCAACAAAGGCTTAATATTTTTTAATTGCAGTCGTAACTGGACTTACGTTTTTTGCTTTAATTTGTTCATGGTTCGTGCCTAATGAACAATTATACAACGACTTGAAGATGTCATACTCGCGACAGATCGCATTATAAAAGAATGAAAAAAACTATAATTAAGAGTCTTTAGAGGTATTTTAATTGTAAGTGAGGTTAGGTTCATAGAAATATAAGTGGTAGAAGATTATTACAATATCTATATATAGAAATAAAAGTACATACATAACAGTTGGCTTGATTCTATGACGCATTACATTTTTTTTTAAGGGGGGAAAATCATCGAATGACTGCTCCCGTCTGGGTGAGGTGGAAGGGAGTGTCAGACTCTTACTGACTAAAAACCACGCACTTCTCCTGCACGTCCCGGTTACCCGTTAGGTTCTCCGCGACATGACGCATTACATTAGGGTACTGTGCCTGTACGCGTCCATGTTATGGAACGAATTTTCCCTTTGAAAATTTCCGAAAATCAGAAAACTACCACCTTATTAGTAGTAGTTAGAACTTATCTGTTTGATCTTATCATTTCCAGTATCTTACATTCATGGCGATCTGCAAAATAGACGCGATCCCATGGGTGGACGCGAACGCGGCGAACCTACCCTATAATTTAATTTAGTAAGTAATAGTTAGTATTAATTTTATTTATGTTTGTATTGAATTAAATTATTTTGTTTCCCTATAATAATTATGTACGTACGTGTTATTTCGTTTTGTATAAATGAACGTTTAAGATTACAGTCATTTAGAAAAATACCTACAGCAGAACTCCCAAACAGCTAAATCCCTAACGGTGATTTAAATTAATCATCATACAGATCACAGATATTGCGACGATAGATATAAAAGACGTGTACCTACATAGTAGGTATGAACATATAAATTTGTGACCGGTGAAGGATCCTTTCGCTAAATTATTTTCCTAATACCCAATAGGCCTCACATTGCTTAGAGGTCATTTTAAGTTTACGAAAATTGTAACATTAACCTTGAAATGATTGCCACATTATAATTACCGCAACATATTTTGATCTTGTAGAAGCTTGACGCTTGATGCTTCGGCATGAATGGACCGGCTTGACCGGAGATGTACCACGACTGGTAACGCACTTATAATGCTTCTGGTGTTTCGGGCATCCAGGTATCGGGCGGCGCCGATTGCTTACCATCAGGTGGTCCGTCTGCTCTCTTACCGACTTATTCCATAAAAAATCTGATTTAGGTACAATGTAGTTTCCTCAGTCAAAACCAATGGAGGTTCTTGCTTGTTCTTCTCTATGCGAATCTATATTTTGAAACAACAACGTATCTTTACTGCTATAGATACTGATGGACCGACTGACGAATAGTTACATTTTGACGTTTAAAAAGTACCTTTTCTGTGAAGTTAGGTTGGTGTTTAGCTACTATCTCTTATATATGGAATAGTTGAAAGAAATGCTATTACGTTAAATTATTAAATTTTTCGATTATTGACTTTCATTCAATTATTCATATAAATATAAATTATATAAATAAATTCAAGTGTGGGAGAGCCATGCTTTGGCACAAATTGGCCGGCTCGACCGGAGTGATACCACGGCCTCACAGAAGACCGACGTGAAGCAACGCTTGCGTTGAGTTTCGTCGTGTGAGTGAGGTCACCGTAGGCCCAATTACCTCCACCCCCAACAATCCTCAAAGTCCTAATCCCCAAAAGGCCGGTAACGCACTTGTAACGCATCAGGTGATCCGTCGGCTCGTTTAACGGCTTATTCCATAAAAAAATATATAAAGTCAAAATCAAAATCGTTTATTTCAATAAGACCAGAAAGGCCCTTTTGAACAAGAAAAAATTAAAGTGAAGCTATTAGATTCTATAGGAATCTACAGCTTGGAATGAGCAAGAAACTAAATAGGTTATACTTTTTTACAATATAGTTGACTAATGAGTATTTGAATGCGTATAAATAAAACAAAGAATTAAAAGTATTTTGTACAAATTCATATTTCATCATCATCATCAACAGCCGGAAGACGTCCACTGCTGGACAAAGGCCTCCCCCTTAGCCCTCCACGTCGAACGACAACTCGCCACCCGCATCCACTGGCTCCCCGCAACTCTGGCGATGTCGTCGGTCCACCTAGCGGGAGGCCTGCCCACGCTTCGTCTTCCGGTCCGTGGTCTCCACTCAAGGACTTTCCTGGCCCATCTGCCGTCAGTCCTTCGAGCGACGTGGCCTGCCCATTGCCACTTCAGTCTGCAGATTTTGCGAGCTATGTCGGTAACTCTTGTTCTTTGGCGAATCTCCATATTTCGGACTTTGTCGCGCAAAGAAACCCCGAGCATAGCTCTCTCCATCGCAAGCTCTCTCCATCGCAATGATGATGATGATGATGATGTTAGAAATTGTGCATCAAATGAAACAACTAACGCCATCTATTGGCACTAGTAGATAATTTAAGTATAAGGAACGACAGATTGTATTTCCGTTTGCTAATTTCACTCTATTGATTTATTGACTTCATTCCCTCTGTATGATTGATTGATTCCGGAAGAAATAAAGATTCAGTTCACTGTTCGCCACCATGAGAGTATGTTGAGTTTTATTTCCATTAAGTAATTACAATAGCATTAAAACATATGATTAAGAAAGTTCAATTATGTTTTGTAATAATTGTTAGAATTTATATAATAAACTACACATAAACACCTTAAGAATAATAGTCAATATTTAAATTTATTTATAATGATAATTTATTTATTTATTTATTTATTTAACACTTTATGTACAACTGTATACAATGGCGGAATTAATGCCGAATGGCATTCTCTACCAGCCAACCATAGGGTGATGCAGAGAAGTGTTACAGTAGGTTTTAAAAAAATAAAAACGAGGGTGATAAATGTACGTACATATGTATAAAGGTATCCTAGTACATAAACTACATACCAATACTACATACTAATATGAAACATAAATATAATATGTAAATAATAAAATATATATAATACATTAAAATGTCCACATGGGAATTTATACGCCAATATTTATGATAAAATTTACTAATGCATATCAGTTTTAATTTTAAATATATTAATTTAGACTCTCAAATTAATTAATTGAATTTTATGGAAGTAATATAAGTAGATACTTCTTGCAGAGCAGTGCCTTTAGCCAAACGCCACTTTAGCGCTTGTCTACCGAGAGTGTCGAAAACTAAATGTATAGGGATGACATTGACAAGTCAAAATTTACGTCAATTCCATAATTATAATTTAGTTTTCTACTCTACAAGTAGACAAGCGCTAAATGGCATTTGGCTACAGCTGCAGGACCTATAGATACACTTTACCTTCAAAATGTTTCATGGACATAACATTTAAAATAAAAAGCGAATAAACCTGTATAAAACGGCCATTTCTAACATAATTTATTTTATTTTAATTTAAACATTCAAAAATCAAGAATTCTAATAAAAGTCATGCATAATGTTGCTGTTAAAAATATACGTATATTTTTGTTTATAATTCCACTACCTAATTGGTATTAAAAGAATATAATTATACCTATATTTATATATTTATTTAAATTAAATTAAATTTTCATTTAGTCAATTTACATAACAAACCATCACGCTTTTTATCCCCAAAGGCGTAAACAGAGGTGTACATTACGGCACTTAATGCCACTGTACAATTTAAACCCACTTTTCACTATTTATGTTATGAGTCCCATGTAATACGGGGTGAGCCTATTGACATATACCGGGCACAAATCACAATAGACACCGTGTTACTACTGAGAATTTATAAAAAAACCCAGTAATAATTTGGCCGACCCAGGAATCGAACCCGAGACCCCTTGCCTGGCAGTCCACTTGCGATCACTCGGCCAGCGATTGCCTCGTTCGTCAATTTACACTCAATCGAGTCAAATTTACTCTCACTCAATTTACACTCAATTTACACTCAATAAACGAGATATCATTTATTTATCACACAATAATATTATAAATGTGAAAGGTCTTTGTTTGGATGTTGGTCCGTCAATTACGCTGAAACTACTGAACGGATTTTGATGAAATTTGGTAGGTATATACCTCTATATAGGCAGGTTATAGGCTCAGTTAGCTGGTGATAGGGTACTTTTTATTTCAATCAAACGCTCCCATGGGACAAAACAGGAATACCTGGGTAAAGCCGTGGGTAAAACGTATTTTATTACATTATATTATATTAGGTACGTCTGCCCGTGTTTACCAACCTTTATTAAATTTGAAATAAGTAATGAAGTGACCGTTACCCTTTTTTATTCAAATTGTTTAGCTATTGGTTTTTCAAGTGTTAAATAAATAAATAAATAAATAAAGCCTTTTTGGTTTTCAGAACTCACGTTCTAATTGATACCTAGGAATAGGTACAAGTAGACAGTTAATGTGGGTTATATCCCACGCTAAGTAACTCTAAGTTAGAGTAAGTTCAAGGGTGGTTGATAAAAATGGCAATTTTTCCTTAATTTCAGGCCTTAATTTTATTTTATTTTACAATTTTAGGAAAACTTACGGCCAATAACAAGTTTCCGCTTAATTACATATATTTATAGCTTATAGGTATAATGGTTCATATAAAGTGCGTGCTTTCATTTCTCTCCCTTAGTCCTTGGTTCAAGTTTGACAATAAATTCGTTGACAGGTTTCAACATGATGCCGAATTTGACACGTATTCTCTCTTTGCCCGTCTGGCCATCACCAGGTCGAATCCTGTACCGACGTACCAGAGTCGCCATAGCGGTCTTCATTGACATCATAGCGTAAAGATACCCTGAAAAATACATAGAGTTTAAATGTTGATTGCACAATGGATGCGATAGATCTCTGGACGGAGCAACTCTTTGTGTAATCCACGAATCGTTGTTTCGGATCTGGGTGTCATTTGTATGTGGGATTGTATATTGTACCTAAACGCACCCACGATACAGAAAAAATCCTTGTGTGGGGCAGAATCAAAAAACTAGTCTTTGGTGATTCAAAAGCTATAGATTTAAATAATAAAATTATATACCTATTTAAATATTTTCTTCAGTGTAAAACATCTACCAATACGAGTGCTAAACTAACATTAGAAATACATTAAAATCAGCATAGTACAAATATTTAGAAAAATTATAATGTATTTTTTTAGTTTGTCACACCAGCAGGAAAATAAATATACTTATTTAAATCAATAGGAAACGCATTAAAATATTTGCTGAGGTTTACTGCAATTGAAATTAATTTAACACTACATATTTATAATTTCCAAAAATGCAATATATAAAAACTTGATTGTTTGTTTTACATATTTATAGTGTCCGATGTATGTGTCTACTCAAAATAAAAGAAACATAGCTGAACTTTAAAGTGTGAAAAAGCATCTACCTACCTTAATAAAAATGTGCATTAAGAAAAAATAATAAATAAGACTATAATATTTAATATAATCTAATATTTATTCAATACTCAATACTTTATTGCTTTTCACATGTATTACTTAGGTGGTGCCTAAACATAATTAGGTACTGTCGGGTACAACAATATAAATCTTGGAGGGAGCACACTTTAACACGTCATTCGCAGAAATAATAATAAAATAAAAACTGCGTTTAAAAAACCGACTTCAAAAACCAAAAACTAATAACAAACAAAAAGTCAATACTAAAAAGCAAAAAATAACTATTATTAGTACTGATAGGTTACCCACCCACTGATAGGTAGAAGTCGGTGCCATAGTCCATACAAAATTATTCATTAAAACCTTAATAGGTATCTAATTCACAATTTTGTGGACATTAAGTTATATCATTATGATATGAGCTTATGGCACCGACTTCTAACCTATCAGTGGGTGGGTAACCTATCAGTACTAATAATAGTTATTTTTTGCTTTTTAGTATTGACTTTTTGTTTGTTATTAGTTTTTGGTTTTTGAAGTCGGTTTTTTAAACGCAGTTTTTATTTTATTATTTTACCATTTTCAGTGTAAAGCTACATATACCCGTTTTGTTACTTATAATATACATAGGTGCAAAGTCCTCATCAATACAAATTAATCAAGCCCAAACTCAAGGTAGTTACTGTATTCCGTTGAGGAGTTCCCTTAACAATTACACTTCTTCATCATCAGACCCTTAATGGCAGCCCCACTCTATCTACTCTATCTAGGTGTAAAGTCCTCATCAATACAAATTAATCAAGCCCAAACTCAAGGTAGTTACTGTATACCGTTGAGGAGTTCCCTTAACAATTACACTTCTTCATCATCAGACCCTTAATGACAGCCCACTCTATCTAGGTGTAAAGTCCTCATCAATACAAATTAATCAAGCCCAAACACAAGGTAGTTAATATAAACCGCTGAGGAGTTCCCTCGACTGTCTGTCGACTCCATCATCAGGTCGACTTCAGACCCTTACCAAATTGTAGTGTTTAAAATTCGTAATTGAAAAACATAATAGACGCATTACTCCCCCATAGAATTTTCGAAAGTTCCCCTCGGTTTCCCTAGGATCCCATCATCAGATCCTGACTTCATGGAAATGGGACCATCTCGGGAGTATACCCTTTCAAACAAAACAAAAATTTTCGAAATCGGTCCACAAACGGCGGAGTACTGCGCGAACAAACAAAAAAAAAAAAAAAAAAAAACAATCAGCCGAACATAGTACCTCCTCCTTTTTTTGAAGTCGGTAAAAAATATAATTAACCTACAATAAATCAATATCAAATGCAATACAAGATAAAAGTATAATTGAAATTGAAGTATTTAAGAATTAAAAAAAAATATGCACCTTAGCATTTATGTCTCGTAAACTTAACGTGCACACGCAATTTTATCTCAATTGGTTAAAGATATCTGCTTCAAAATTAGTGCCCATAAATGCTAAGCTACATATTTTTTTTTAATTTTTAGTTGTTATTTCTATCAGAATATCACCTAACCTACGTAGAAACTGACAGTGCAGCTTATTATCTGAAGACTGTATATTTTGTTTTATTAAAATTGTATTATAGACACATAACAACAATAGTATTATCACGGATTTTTCTCAGAGACAGAAAAAACATACCAGATTTATTCATATGACAATTTTTTTTTTTTATCTAGGATAAACAAACAAATACCTTAATTTCCATTTTTTTCATATGCATATTCATAGTTACCTTTGCTTTCTGTGAATCAAGGTGAAAAATTCTATCTATGAACAGAATATCTACGAATAGTATTTTCTACCAACAAAGGTTTCGGCAAAACGAGCTGTCTAGGAATAAAGATTTCTATGGCTAGTGCTTTCTATGGAACGAGATATCTACGAACAATATTTTCTAACAATAAAGTTTTCGGCGAAACGTGCTTTCTGAGAATAGACATTTCTATGAGCCATGCTTTCTGCATCCAGTAGTGTCGTACAAACGTGATTCTATATTACGTTCCACACTCCCCCTAATGACATTCACAAGTTTTATAATATAACCAGGTAAAAGTGTGGATTTCCTTGTCAATGTAAATCAAATTACGATAGAAATCTATATTTTATAAAAAAAAATTCGTGTTATTTACACTAATTATAACTCAAGAATAGCTAAATCAATTTGGCTGAAAATTGATGAGGAGGTAGCTTAGAATCAGGATACTCTTTATCCAAGAATTTCTCGAAAATCCTACGGAAACGGGAGAACCCCCCTACGCTACGTACGAAGAAGCAGGCTAGTCTACATTAATATTCTAAAGAGGAAAGATTTGATATTTTGTTTGTTCGAATTAAATCGGCTTCGAATCCACCGTACCCATTTGAAAAATTCTTTTGCTGTTGGAATACTAGATTATTCCTGATGATTTTAGACTATATTTGATAAGAGAAAAAAGGGAACCGTATGAAAATTTCGTTAATGTAACCCGATGTGTGAAATAACTCCTTATATTACTTACGCTGTAGAAATTATAGACAAAAGAACAGTGATGTACTATATGTCTTATAGAGAACATTAATATCAACGTAATAGTCTTTTTCATTTTAAAATGTGCAATAGTAATGCAAAATACTAATTCAAAAACCCAACTTCGGCCAGAAGTCATTATTATACGCGGACGAAGTCGCGATGAACAGGTCCAATCTGCAAATGACATTTTACAAATACTGCACTAAAAATACAATCCTATAATTTATAAGTAGCTTTAATTACATCATTCAAATACTTAATAATATTTGGATATAATCAAGTTTACAAGTGTATGGCCTTAGCAGAGTACAAGTGTTGAGCAAATAATTCCGACTAAGTATTGCATCTTAAGTTTAATGTCAATAATATCTTTCAGTGAAAAAACTTAATCACATCTGTACTACACGTGGTAGATATGTAAAACATTAACATTATTATGTTGATCTGTTTCTAGAATTATCTTTTCGATTTTTCTCCTGACCTATCTAGATCTACCATGATGTCTAGGTACCCACTGAGTTATGTAAAACCAGTATAAACTGATCATTGAACGTGCAATGAGATCATACAGAACGAGGCCAAGAAAAACTGGTTATGTACCTATAACTTGATGTAGAGTGTGTACATGGCATTCAAAGAGAATCAAAAACATAGGTAGAAAATGCCAATATTCTATCCAAATCTAAGACATTGGGGATAGTAGATCCACGAAGCGTTATTTGACAAATGCGTGAATTTGTTAATGACAATAGGTGGCATACAAATGACAAGTGCTAGTACCTTGATTAGAAACAATGAAAACTTACGACGAAGCGGCATTCAGCAACTAATCTACCTATTGTCATTTGACGAATGAATGCATTCGCTAAATGAGAGCGTGGACAGTAGGCCTAACACGAGGATGGAACGGACACAAGTCATATTAGGATCGATATTAACTCGTCGAGTATCGGTTTTATAGACACAATTAAAGAAATTAGGTCGCGGTCACCGGTGACCGCTTGGTGTTTGACAGTTTAAGACAAATATGATAGATAAGTTAATACCAAATTTCTTGGTAAGATCTAAAGTCAGATGTACTTGCCTTCACCAGAATTTTGTCAAAGGCTAAATAAATTTTGAAATTCGAACACCTACCTAGACAACTTCTGGGGCCATAGCTAAACGGCATAAAGGCAGCTGGATGCTTGAGCGTGGTGTCAAGGAACCGTTCAGGTCGAAACTCCTCCGCGTCGTCGCCCCAGTAGCGAGGGTTGCGATGGACGGACCAGATACTGACTAATACACTACATCCTTCTACTAATGTCACACCGTTCGCTGAAAAGACGGAATGTATTAGTGAATACTAGCTTCTGCCAGCGGTTCCGCCCGAGTTCCCGTGCAATAAAATTGCCTATGTGTTATTCCAGACCATTCGAATTCTCGTAGAGAGCTCGATCGCGGTCTCATCTCGATCAATGACGGGCGAGAATACAATCGGGATTACTTCGAAATTTCGAATTGATATCTTAAAGAATAGTCTGTCTGTTCCAAACGTACCCCTTCAATAGGTACACTTTTTAACAAAGCAGCACACTGCAACTACCCTCTAAAACTAACTATGTTACTTACGCAAGGCGACATCTCTCTCAATTTTCCTAGTGATCAAAGGTACAGGTGGGTACAGTCGAAGGCTCTCCCTGATCACTGCATCCAAGTACTTCAGTCTAGGTAGGTCCTCATGAGTCACTGGCCTGTCTGAGTCACCAAACACCTCTTGTAACCTGGAACAATTTAATTTTTAGTTATAATTATGTAAGTAAAAATAATTTAGCTTAATGGCTTCAATAAATCATTGGCCATAATTAAAATTAATGCCAAAATTAAAAAGAAATGTAAAACCTTTATTTTTAGGTAAAAAGGTTAAAAACGGAACTCTATTTATTACTGAGGTTCCAGTGTCTGTTATAAAGGAGTATAGTTATCACAGTTCACAAGAAGACTTATAAACCCTGAAAACTAAACTCCTCTGGTGTTGCAGGTGTCCATGGGCGGTGCTGATCGCTTACCATCAGGTGATCCGTCTGCTCGTTTGCCTACTATACTGAAAAACTATATATTTACAATTTTCACAGATGTATTTTTGTTTCAAAATTAACAACAAATAACTACTAATAAATAAATATCACAGCTACGGAATCCATCGTACGTGAATTTGACTCAATTCTTTTTTTATGGTTTATTTGTCCTCGCCAATACACGTGCGAGTTTCACAAACGTGATGTAGAATTCATGCAATTTTTAGAAATGTTCTACTAATTTATTCATTGAACGTCTTATTACGTAATTATTTTTTTCGCACCAAGAACATTTTTTTTATAATGTGACGCCCAGGGCTTAAACAAAGTGCACATAATGGCACATACATATACGATAGTACACTTTTCACCAACTATGTTATGGGTCCTATGTAATAAGGGGTAAGCATGAACCTATTACCGTATAGATACCGGCCTCAATTGCAGGCTTCCTACTATTTAAATAAGGTCTATAATACTTTGCTGATAGTGGCACTTGATATCATTAAACCAATGAGGTAGTCGAGGCAAAGAATACTTACTCTTCATAAACCTTTTCTTGTACTTCAGGATATTTGGCTAGCAAGAGCGTGGTGAAACCAGATCCGACTGCCGAAGTATCAGTCCCAGCCAGTACGATGACCAGGGTCTCTTCCCTCAGCTCCAGGTTACCGTAATCTGCTGAAGACTCAATCAGCAACTCTAAGAACGTTTTCCAACTGTCTTTCGGCTCTGAGAAATAATAAAAAGTACTTTACGCATTGTTGAGGTGTTGAATGTTATTATTTTTATCCTACTTCCCAAAAAAGAGGAGATTACCAATTCGCTGTATGTTTTTTTGTTCTACTTATTTATTTTTTTTAGGGGGGAAAATCATCAAATGACTGCTCTCGCCTGGGTGAGGTGGAAGGGAGTGTCAGACTCTTACTGACTAAAAACCACCCCGTTCCTTCTCCTGCACGTCGAGCTGGAGCCCCGGTAACCCGTTAGGTTCTCCGCAACTCTATTTATGTTTAGGTTACATTAAGAAACACATGCAACACAGTCAGACATACTTTCGAACCTTAAAATAGGCTGAAACCTCTGAGCTTGTTTCGGTGTTTCTTTCCAGTCAAATAAAATAATTGTATTCTCAAGATTGTTTTAAAGTAATAACATATTATAAAAATGCTATATGGTAGCAGAAATAAATAATTATGTAAACATAATTTATCATTTTTAGTACAGCAATCAATGACCATGAGATTAGCTAGGCCACTCGTCTAATGCCAATATTATGTCTTTCTAACCACTGATGACGTCAAAGCAGGCCTTAATCACAATTCAAAGATATAAAGCATGCATAATTAATTATGTATGAACCTATGCAGTAGTCGTGGTGGTATTTTTTCTAAGGATATTTCTATTATTAACTTTGTTTGCATGTTTTGGTTAATGCAAGTAGCTTCTCTATCACATTAAGTTAACCCTGTAATGATAGATGTAAGTGTGATGATAAATAAATAAATAAACATTTCAGTCAACATAGACTCACTTTTACTATTTGATTCTGAGATCTCTTTCTTTAGTAACGCCCATTTTGAAGTTATTATCTGGAAGTAAAATGTTGAATTATATTTTAAACTAAACAAGATTTAGTGCTGTTGCATTGTTGATTATGCTTTGTGTCCACGGAGTACTAAGTGTGGGAGAGCAATGCTTCGGCACGAATGGGCCGCCTCGACCGGAATAATACCACGGCCTCACTTCCCGTCCCCAATCTCCTTAATCCCCGAATCCTCCACAACCCTCAAAGTCACAATTCCCAAAGGCTGGTAACGCACTGGTAATGCCTTGGTGTTTCAGGTGTCCATGGGCGGCGCATTGCTTACCATCAGGTGATTCGTCGATTCGTTTACGGGCTTATGCCATAAAAAAAAATATCACGGCCTCACTGAAAACCGACGAGGAATAACGCTTTGTGTTTCGTCGTGTTAAAAAAACATACTTTTTTAAGACAAGAAATTAGAAATTCTTAAAAATGTTACTCATTTCACAGCAGCGGTGCTAGCCGAATGCTTTTGCAAGCATGTCTATTAAAGAGTAGTAAACTCAATGTATGGGGATGACGTAAGCAAAATATACAGAGTAGACAGACAGACACTCTGAGATTGGTAGCCAGATGCGCAGGTCTTTGAAAGTTAGTTTTACTGGCGACAGAGTAAGATCATCTGACACGAGATTGTACCTTCTTTATTTATGCACAGTACACACAATTATGCTCTGATACAGTGCAGTGATAACTCAACAATTATAATAAATTGATAAGTCAATTTGAGGCTGAATTTAATATGTATTTAGATAAAATACTTTACTTATTATTTCTTAGAATAATAATTCTTTTTACTTAATACCTTGTCCATGAACTTCCAAATTAACTTCTTGCTGCGATCATATGAATCAAAGGCGCTTCTGCAGAAGATTTTGTTTATTGTGTCGTTGTACAGCCAGGGTTGGCAAATACGTTTAGCATCGATGCGGCAGCAATTCTCAAAGGCTTGGAGGAAAGGTAGCTCCGGTTCCAGCTGGGAGTTCATATTTATACCTAGAGTTGTCTCTGAAAGAACAAATTAAGATTATGGAAGTAGTAAGGTTTGATGGTAGGCGATTAGTCGCACCCATAGAAGACACCCACTATTTTTATGGATTGTCAGTATGCATATATGAGCACCATGTTAGTCTATAAGATCTTTTTGTTTTGTTTTTTATTTCAGTAAGTTTTGTAATTTGTATAATGCGTCAAACACGTCTTTACATTGTTCTCATATACAATATTGGATAATGTATCAGAGGGATTGAAAAACATTCTTTAAAGAGTAACGAATGGAGTTTCTTTCCCATTCTTCTCCATTTGAATCTACGTTTTGAAACGAATACCTAGCTTTACTGACGGACAGACTGACAGACCATTATTTATTTTATATTTGTTTACGTTTTAAAAGTACCAAATTATGGTTTTATTGAAATCAAATGCTTACACTTTGATTTTGACCCACTAAACTAGAAAAGGGACAGATGTGCACCGACTTTTCACCTATCAGTGGGTATGTAAGCTATAAGTACATATGACCAATAATAGTTATTTTTTGCTTTTTGGAAGCGCAGTTAGGTACTTCATTGAATGTATGTATTTTAGGTATGTAATTTCACAATAATTCTAATTAAATACAACATAACATGTAGACAGGCACTTGTTTTTGCTAGTACTTCTAATTGTATGTAAAGTAAGTGTATTTGTACATAACAAATACATTGAGGTTAATTATAATGTGAATATTTACGTGAAATATTGTGTTGCATAAACTTTTTGTTTTTCATAAATAGGTACTCATGTTTTTACTGAGCTCTCAAGCTTAGACACACAGTAAGAGACAGGACCATAGATAATTGCGATTCAGAAAACTATAGATTCAAATTCAAGAGCTAAATATGTAATTGGCCGATAGGTAATCGCATATCGTCATAAATAAATAAATTTACTTGTTTCACGAGTGACTTTATTTTTATAAAATATCTCACCGAGACTTCCCTCTGAAAATTGAATAGCTCGCGTTTTTAGTTATCAAGATAATACAAGTGTCCGACGTTATGTGCCGTCCGGCGTTACGAGACTTCCCCCTAAGCACAAGATCCCCCGATCATTTTAACACGACAGTACCTACCGACAAATAACGAGGAAATTCAACAATGAAACACGTTATGGTAAGTACCCACCACAAACAGAATCCATGGTGTAAGTAGAGATGTACTTCCACATAGACACAGGTCCTTTCTGTGTGGCAATATGCAGCTGATCAGACATGACCTTGCTCTGTCGGGCAAACACATCAACGAATGAATTGAGGTTCTTCTGGCTGAACGTCGGAGCCAAGATCTTTCGCCGAGGACGCCATATTGATACTGTTTGGAGAAACAAATGAATTGTTTCATTACAACTACATTCATTACGACTGCCTTGTTGGCCGAGTAGTCGCAGGTGCAACTGCCGGGCAAGGGGTTTCGGGTTCGATTCCCGGGTCGGGCAAAGTATTACTGGGTTTTTAAAAATCTCAGTGGTAGCACGGAGTCTGGAAATATGCCCGGTACATGGCAATAGGCTCACCCCCTATTACATGGGACTCATAACAATAATAGTGAAAAGTGGGTGTTACATTGTACAGTAGCATTAAGTGCCATAATGTGCACCTCTGCCTACCCCTTCGGGGATAACAAGGCGTGATGTTATGTTATGTTTCATTACAATTCACACTGAAAGCGTTTTTCAAAAGAATTCTGTCAAATTAAAAAAACCATTAATAGAAATGTTTTATAGATGTTTAAGTGTCATATGTGCAACTATTGAAAGGCCACTCTATTTTAAGTTCCACCTAAATGTCGTGCCATCTTGTGTCGTCATTTTACACATTGTACATTTATAGGTACTTAAGCACGTCTCTAAATCGAGTAGCCTTTTGAGCGATAGTCTCATACATTTGTATTGAGTTAACAATACTGATCAAATTAACTAAAAATCGCGGGCTACTCACGTGAATATACTGAGAAAAGCTCTACTAGTTTCGTGGGTAACCCGCGATTTTTAGTTAATTTAGTATGTCTCACGATAGCTATTATAAAAAGATACTGATCAAAGTTAATTTTTGAATCAAGTATTGCTGTCAAACTAGAATTAAACTTACCAGGTGCAAAAATACTGCCGTTTCCTAGCAGAACTCTGAACATCCTCATAAGGTCATCCTTCTCCAAGCACGTCTTGAGGATTACTTCTATTATTTCTGGTTCTGTTACCACTGCGAAAATACAATAATAATTTATTAATCAAGTTACAATCGGCGAAGCGCTACCGATCCATGGTGGATATCCCACCCACACGCACGAAGCACTTCGCATCAAGTTTCCTTGTGTGTACTGCTATGGAGTGGAATTCTTTACCAGAGTCTGTATTTCCTGAAGAGTATAGGCCGTATGATCGCTAACCACCAGACGAGATAATGGCCAAACGTCGACCCATCAAATTTATGAAAAATAATTAAGGATAACCATCAAAGCATACACCAAAATATATGATAAGCTTTTAACATATTATAACATTGTATAGTGTAGGCTTAATTAAAGGCTGCCACGACATGCAAAATAATTACATTTTTAATAACAAACATTTTATTTATTTACCCCGGCTGCATGCAATAAATGGATATTTAAACGTAAAAATACACACGCTCATGCACACAACTTGTTTCGGATATCAAAACCCATTTATATTTTGGGAAAAGAGCTTCGGAAATGCTAAGCAGTTAATCAGTTTCCTAAATTCTTTACCAAGATATTTGATTATTATTTACTGAGATAGAGTAAGTGTCCCTGCCATTGTGATATAATGCCTCCCATTTCGTATGATTCACGCCCAATTGCTTCAAACTGATTGAAACGATCTGGAAAAAAGAATACATAATGCATTAACAAAAGTTATCTAACATTAGGCATATTGTAACGTTATAATTACATAACATATACAACATAACATTATAATTATTACGTTAGTTACGGACCTAATTAATATTTTATTATAATCAGATTTTGTTGACCGGCTAACTTAAATAAATAGCACACTGCTTCTCATGAATATGAGCCCTGAGCGTGGCCTGAAACTGCTGTAATTCCTCGTCAATTAAACATTTACCTGAATAAACCGGTAAATACAATTGCTTTACAAAATTGTGTATAGACATACCACTAAAGTTATAGTATAAAAAAGGTATTGTGGTTTGTCAGCTTGCATTTATTAGGCTCTATAGGACACTAAAGAATTTATTTGGAACATTCTTTCATTCTTAACCTTCGCTTGGCTACGCTTCGCTACTTTTTATCTCAAAACTAGAAACTCGCGTGGTTTCACTAGTCGTTCTCAGCTACCATTGATTGTAGCGTGATGTTTCAGAGCCTATAGTCTTCCTCAATAAATGAGCTATCCAACACAAAAATAATTATTCAAATCTGATCAGTAGTTTCTGAGTTTAAAGCATTTAATCAAATTCTTCAGCATTGTATATTAAAATTAATAGTAAAAATATATAATAATATTTCCCATATGGTCGGGATCAACTTAAGAGTCATCTTTTAAACTGCATTAAGCGTAAAAGCCAGTGTTGTATAATTATTTCTTTCTGTAGTTGATTCTTTCATGAATCTAATTCATTCATTTACGAAAATATGTGTAAAGAAAACAGGTTTTCTTTAATTTTGAATTGGTTACTATAAATTATAAAATAGTATGTGGTTTGTTCAGACGTCAGGTATAAGAATTTTGTGATAAAGAATATGTTGAAACATAAACCTTAAATCATTAATTGTCGTTTCTTCATTTTAAGAAGCAACACAATGGTTTTATTAAATTCTAAATCATAAGATAAATCAAAAGATATATAAGACTAATTATATGTGTACTTATAAAAAATGATAAGAACGGAATTTAAACCTGTTATTTTTTATTATATTTAGGTATTTGTTAAAAAAAATTACAATTAAAAAATATTTTTGTTCGCTACAGAGTATTTTAAACTAACTGTGGGCATTATAAATCAACGTTAGAATTATATAATTGTCTAATTGTAGTGAAAAACATGACGTGAGCGGTGTACATTAGCATAGTTCACTGTCATGTAACACGTAGTTTGTGTCACATAAAAGTAATTACTTAACAGGTCACAAGTTAGCAACTTACAAATTATTTTATTCATTAGTTCAGTCATGATTTTTTTAAGGGGGGAAAATCATCTAGTGACTTCTCCCACCTGGGTGAGGCGGGAGGGAATGTCAGACTCTTACTGACTAAAAACCACCCCGTTCCTACTCATGCACTTCGAGCTGGAACCCCGGTAACCCGTTATGTTCTCCGCGGGGTTGGGGCATGAATAAGGTAATATTACAGCTATATGGATAACAAGCTACTGCCAACGGCCCGCTTTATCCTGGGCTAAAAAGCAGTCTATATGTTACAATCTACCCCTGTTCCAAAAATTCATTCCGATCTATTCACCCGTTTTTACGTGAAGAAGTAACAACACATAAATAAACATACAAACTGTCGTGAGACATACTAAATATATTATTATGTTTTCAGCTTACCTACTCACGTAATTATTTGACGAGGAACTCGACTAGTTTCAAGAAGACCAGTTTCAGAAAACTCGACTGTAAGTACCAGCGCGACAGTCGCCGCGTCGCGGGTCGTGAAATGCTGCTCATGAATATGAACCTCTAGTATAGCTTGAAACTAGTCGAGTTCCTTGTCAAATAATTACGTAAGTAAGCCGAAAACATTATAATATAAACATACAAACATTTGCATTTATAATACTTTTCTAGATATTTCAATAAATGATGTTTTTTATGCTCCTACATCAAAGGTCTCGATTGTGTTGAACTCAAATCCATATTTATGAGACCGTTATCCAATTAAAATGCAAAAGATGAATTATTTTTTGTTTATCATAATGAACCTTATTGTACACCATATAAACACGTAGGACAACAATAAATATATTGTATAATCTTGTTAGTTACGTTGAGTATCGAAATACATATGTCGAAAGTATATCCAAACAAAAGGCGAAAACTAGCTTTAGAAACAGAAACAAGGGAAACTAGTGAAAAAGAAAAGTGTTCAGAGAAACAGAAAGATATAGAATATCTAATCTGAAATAATTAACAATAACGGTTCATTCACGTAAATATATTGAGAAAAGCTCTACTAATTTCGAGTCACAGAGTGACTCATCCTCATGAGCAGCGTGCATGATCACGGCAACGTCACGCAACATACGAGAATAGTATGTCTCACAAAAGGTATTACAAAAATATCTAACCCAATTTTTTATCTAAAAAGGTATAAACAAAAATAAATCTTATTTACCCTCATCAGTCCCCAAGAACATGTAAGCTTGACCAATCAACGGGAGAGATATGGTCTTCCTGGTCAGCTTATTGCCTAAGGCATATTTTCTTCTATTGCGCCATCTGTACACTGACCAGACTAAAAGAAGCACAGCCAGTAATTGCCACAGCATTTTACTATAAAACTATGTACTTGCACCACCTAACAAAAGCACCTTAATCACGATGAAAATACAATACGTTCACAACCGACATTCGTGTAAGTATTTCGTGAAATGGTACCTCTTGTTGTTTTCAGTTTACATAATAAATTATTTGTGTTTCGATTGTTGTTTACTTGTTATTTAACGCAGGTTTGCTCGTTTTCTATTTTTTTTTGTACCTGTAACTATCTTGTTAGATAATATTAATAATAATTGAAAATTTAGTTGTGATAAAATACGTTGGTATTTTATCACAACTAGTCCATCCAGTCCATCCAGTTTAGCGTGGTTCGGCATAGCATATTCTATACAATATAGATTGGGGTGTCAGTTTTTCTATATGTCTTTCTCTTTTTACAAGCAAATCTCTGGAATGGCTAAACCAATTTTACAAGACAGGTAGGTGATGTAAGAAGTATCATAGACCACTTTTATTTTGGGAAATTGAAACAAATAAAAACGTTATGTCCTAAAATTCTTATTCTACGCGGACAAAGTCGCGGCAGCTAGTATAAAATAAAATGTTGTCTATGTTGTCCTATCGTATTTCTATTATTTTGAGCTTTGCCTATTGATCACAAGCAAAGAAATGTTGCTGATTTCATTATTATAAAATAAAATTCTCTCATTTAAATTGGTTCAGGCAGACAACCAAAAATACAGACATACTGACGACGTACTATTGAGTTGTTTATTTCTCGGTAATATGTGAATATTTAACCATACCTAATTACCTAACGAGCGTAATTATTACGATCATTTTAAATCGGTACAATAAACTGTCAAAGGAGATTGATTGAAATAATTCGTTTCGCTTTCAAATTAAAGGTTTTAAATATCTAGGTGGTTGCTGTTTAGACAGTAAGAGTCTGACGCCCAGATGAGAGAAGACATTGGATGATTTTGCCCCCTTTTAAAAAAGTGTAGTCATGAAAAATTTATGAAATTATAAATTAAGTACTTTAAGGTATCCTAAGTGTGGTATATCAAGTGTGGGCGAGCCATGCTTCGGACGTTAGGCGGCTCGTCCGGAGTGATACCACGGCCTCACAGAAAACCGACGTGAAGCAACGCTTGCGTTGTGTTTCATCGTGTGAGTGAGGTTCCGGAGGCCCAATTACCCTCCCCTTCCCCAATCTCCCCAATTCCTGAATCCCCAACGATCCTCCAACTCCTAATTCCCACAAGGCCGGTAACGCACTTGTAACGCCTCTGGTGTTTCGGGTGTCCATGGGCGACGCCGATTGCATACCATCAGGTGATACGTCTGATCGTTTACCGGCTTATGCCTTAAAAAAATCCGATATTCCACGGAACAAATAATTATTTTACTGTGTTCTGTACTGTTCCTAGTTTGAAGATCTGAACTATTTCGTATATTCTAATCATTCCCATTGTCAGGTTGTTCAGGTTTGTCGAAGTGAGAATCGAACTCACTTTTCAGCCGCACACACATCGATGACATTAATACTTACTTGTCTTATATCTCACTAGCTTTTACCCGCGGCTTCGCTCGCGTCACAAAAGGATAAAAAGTAGCCTATGTGACATATACCAATACACACAGCGCCATCTATACCAATACTTTTGTTTTCCCTCGGGAATATCAAAATTTTCCGGGATAAAAAGTACCCTATTATTTAATCCAGACTTCTAACTTTACGTCTGCAAAAATTCAAAGCAATCGGTTTAGTAGTTACGGCGTGAAGGCGGAACAAACAAACAAACAAATAAACTCACTTTCCGATTTATAATATAAGTAAGGAAGTAAGGATTATATATATTATATAGTAAGGATGTTCTCATATTCTTAATGTTTTCATGTTTTAGGAAATCCAAATCATGTTTTACACCAAAAATATTGTAATCAAGATTGAGGCCAAGATTGGGGTCAAATTTGTGGTAGCATGAAATTATTATTCTGTGCCTACATATAAATTAGTGATTGTCTTTGAATTAAAATATAAATTATTAGTAACTTCATTATATGAATTACAATAATGAAAAAATTTTAATTGCAAATAAAGTACTTATAGTTCGAAATGTAGTTCTTACATATTGTTTTCGTTTCACGTCTTATGTAATAGGTACGTATACATATACCTACGTTCGTAATTAAATACTTTTTTGTGTGTTAACAAATACATATATAAAAGAATTGTAATATAATTTGTATGCAATTTATATAACATAATAACTGGCATAATTCCAGACTCCGTGCTACTACTGAGACATAACATAACATAACATCACGAGGTAGCGCTTCGCTGCCTCACGCGTCCCGCCTCCTCCTTAGCTACCATGACTGCTTCGCAAAAGTAGGAGACGGCATCCCAGTCCCCCTCGCTCCGCATCATGGCCTGCACTAGGCCCGGACGCGAGAGGTCGCCATCGCCGATCACTTCCCTGAGGGCACGGCGGTGCTCAGCCCACGCAGGGCATTCCGCAACAGTATGTTCCACCGTGTCCTCAGGGCGGTCCTCGCAGTGATGACACCCGGGCATTTCCTCCCGCCCCATCAGACACAGGTACCTCCCGAAACTTCCATGTCCGGTGAAGACCTGTGTCAGGCGGTAGGTGAGGACGCCGTAGCGTCTCTCAAGCCACTCCTCAAAGAGGGGACTTACCGCTGCAATGGCAGCGAGCCCAGCCCTCGGTTGCGACAGTCGTTGCTGCCATTCCGCCATGAGATCGCGCCGGAGCTCATCCCGCCACGCACTTATCTGGCGCGGCAGCGGAGTTTCGCCCCGGCGACGTGCCTCCGCGCGCATGCGATACACGCGCGCGAGCACCTTCGCCTCCAGATCCCACGGCGGTAATCCAGCAAGGAGGTTCGCCGACTCCCCGGAGATCGTGCGGTATCCGCGGATCATTCGGCTCGCCATGATCCTCTGTGCCATGGACCGCACGACCCCGGCGTATAACCTCCGGCAGGAGGCGTTTGGCCCCCCGAGGTTGGGGAGGATGCGCTTAAACGCAGCCCCCACCCTCGCCAACTTTGGAGCCAAACGTCGGAAGTGCTCCACGAAGTTCCATCGACTGTCGAGGACGAGTCCCAGGTACTTCATCGCCGTCTCGACGCCGATGGTAACCCCTCCCGCCGTTATTTGAGACCCACCAAGAGGTGGCGCATTCCCGCGGCCATGAAAACACATGGCCTCGGACTTGTGGAGCGCCACCTCGAGTCCCAACTGCCGGATTCTCTCAACGACTGTCGCAACCGCTGTCGCCATTAAATCGGCCGCCGCCAGGTGCGACCTCCCGTGCGCTAGCACCAGCGTGTCGTCGGCGTAGCATATTATGCTAACGCCGTTCGGGAGGTCGGTGCGCAGCACCCAGTCATAACCGATGTTCCACAGGAGCGGCCCCAGAACCGAACCCTGTGGAACACCGCGTGACATCTCTCGCCGGTTCCACTCGCCCCGGTGACCGGGGTAGATGACGGACCTGTCCGTCAGGTAAGCCTCGATTACACGACGGAGGTAGGTAGGCACCCGATGATATCGGAGTGCCTCCAAGATGCAGCTCCAGGGCAGGGAGTTGAAGGCGTTGGCGATGTCCAGAGACACCGCCACTACGACCTTACCCCTGGACACTGCAGTCCCCGTCGTCCGGTCCCTAACGCGCATGATGGCGTCCACCGTGGAGCGCCCTCTGCGGAAGCCGAACTGGCCGTCCGATAGGTCTGGCCTAATGTCCGTCAGGTGCGCGACGAGGCGGTTCGAAATGATTCTTTCGAAGACTTTCCCCACCTCGTCGAGCAGCACTATGGGCCGGTATGCAGACGGAGAGTCCGCGCCCCGTCTTCCGCACGAGGACCAGTTTTCCCGCTTTCTAGAGCAGCGGGAACTGGCCTCTCTCCAAGCATGCGCTGTAGAGACCGATTAATCGAGGCCTGAGAGCCTCTGAGGCCAGGACCCATGCTTTGCCATGCAAGCCGTCGGGTCCTGGGGCGGTGTTCTTGGCGCCCATCCGGCGCACCGCCGCTCTCAGTTCTGCCTCGGTCACCTCTGGGACGATGTCGTCGTCGTCGTCGCTATAGCCCGCGTCGGGCACCGCAGGGGGCGGAGTCATATACGGAGGGGCGGCGGAGGGGCGGCGGAGGGCCTACCTTTGCCCTTGGGTTTGGCAGGAGGGGAGCAGCCCTTGCTCCCGACCCGGTGATTGGCCGGCTTGCCAGCCGCCGCACATGCGTTGCAGTGCAGCGGGGCAGTGCAGGAGCCGGCCCTGTGACCGGGCCGACCGCAGCGGAAGCAACAGTCGCTACGGTCCACCTCTGAGGTGCATTTGGCGCTCACGTGCTCCCCCACGTGACAACGGTAGCACCTCAGAGGTCGGGCCTCGAGCAGTTTTACCTGCGCCGAGCCCCATCCCACCAAGAGCCTTTTGCCCTCCTTTAGCTTTTTAGCCGCTGTGACGGGGCAGCTGCGCAGCCCCGAGTTGTCCGGACGGATGGCGCCCGCCTTGACCTGGTCAGTAGGGCACCCTCCCGTCCTGGCCACAGCGGCCACCACCTCACTCTGCGTTACAGAGTCGTCCAGGCCTATAATCCTGACATCCAGGCTTTTGGTGGGCCTGGACACGTGGGCCTCGTCTGCCCCGAGGCACGCCCTAAGCCTCTGAGCCAGGGCGTCGGCCGACGAGCCACTGGCCGCGCCGGGGACCTCCAGTAGACGGGCTCCGGTAGCGGTCACCTTGACCGCAAACCCGTCCGGGGCCCCGAACTCCGCAGGTGTTACCGCCCCCTTAAGCTTGGCGAGGACGTCGCCGTAGGTAACGCCCCTATTGACCGCCTCGGGCTGCAGTGTAATAACTACAGCCGCGGTCTTAGGGGCGAGGAGCAAGGCAGCAGCGCGTTTCTCCCTGCGCTGCTGCTGCCGTCGCTGCCGCTGCGCCTTTTTGCGGCGCTTTCGGCCCTCTCTGGCGACTCTCCTCGCCTCGCCGGCGATTTGCCAGCCGCCGCCATCCTC